AAAGAATCTGATTAAATCTGTTACGAGATATATATCGTACAAGCTGCCAAGCGGTGCTCTACATTTTTAATATTATGTGCTATTTATATGAGATTATTAACTGTCTAAAAAACATATTACATCTGTATTATTTGAGAGCCAGTTTGATGCTTGTTTGCATTCACTCCTAGTGTACACTAAAAAGGCAGAAAACGACGCACAGGGACAGCTTATAAGAGCAGAAGAAGACAATCACGCACTCAGAAATTCAAACCGTTGCATTCTGTGATATAACGAAGTACGTAGCATGGATGATAGAAAAGGATAATAAAAGAATATGGAACAAAGCAGTGAGGGAAACTAAGTTCAAGAGCGAAGAGGAATGCCTTGATGATGAAGGCATAAAGTTCCTCTGAAACGTCGGCAGAAGCCAAACGGCAACCATCTTCGTACTCGCCACAGTGAGAACCTCAAATCCTGCGATTCCTTCAACCGTTCTTGCGTTGCTACACGCGGACGGACAGACAGGCAGACAGACGCCTCGCCTTCGGCACTAATTCACAAATTTCTGTTTCACAGCATTTACGTACCATTCAGCACAGCCGAACTTGGATCGTATCTTTTCCTGTTCATAGGAGCGATGAAAGACCACTGGTTCGTCTTGGGGTCATATCTTTCCGCCGTTTTGGTATCCTCACTGTGAAAGCTACCGCCTATGGCGTACACTGCACTTCGCAGAACTGCCACCATTAAAACGCTTCTGAAACGAAAAGAAGTACACGCTCTGCTTTGCTCGTTTATTGCTGATGCAGTCACACTTTGCACGATACTCCTGTATTTGAGTGGTACAACAACATTTGTATTTTGACTAACAGAGCGACTATCAGCTTTTGAAGAAGGAATTTATTCCTAGGAGTTCCTTAGTTACCGATCTGCATCTTACCTGCAGACATTCATAGGCGCCACCTCGCGCCATGTCTTCATAACAGCGTTGAAGCAGTGACATGAGCGTAGTTCTTCCTCGCCGTCGTAACCACCGATGACGTAAATGTCGAAACCGATTACTGCCGTGGCATGGTAGACTCGCGGTCCAAACGAGTCGACCCCCTCCACCTGCAGGAACGATAGGTTATGGCGCCATTTGGTCTATTAATGTGAAGTCCAAGCAACCAACCACCGGAGCAGAAGTACAACCCCAAACAGTGGACCGAAATTGATACATCGGCTGGGTGGCCGGGCTTACCGCACTCGACAAAGACCGTGAGAAATTAACTTGGAGCAAAGGTGGAATTATAAGAGAGACGGAGGAAACAGGAAGACCCGAAGAGAAGCTCAAACATTATCAGTGCCCTCGTCAAGTACGACAGACAAATGTAGAACTAATTTCTGATCAACAGCTGACTTTTCAGCTTCGTATGGTGGCAAAGACAGATGTTGGTGTTTTGGGTTTTATCGACGCAAAGCTGGAGGCAGTACGTCCCCCACCCCAAACAGTGTGTCAGCCTTCTAATTCACGCGGCGTTACCACGCAGATGGCCAACATCCATACTGATTAGTGCTTCATTTATTACTTTGAAATCCACTGACGATCAACGATGACTTCGTTTCATGTCGAAAATCAGCAGACAGGTTGCCATGACAGTTGATGTAGGACGCTTACTGTAAATGGTATTGAAGGCAAACTTCACATCTTTCGCCGATTCCTATTAGAACTTGCATTGTACATGGGACTCAGCACCTGTACTATTTATGTATTTTTTCTTTTTAAGTCATTTCCTTGAAGCTTCTCTTAAAAAAGGGGTCACTGCAATGAAATAAACGAACACGAAATAAAGACGCAAAAAGATGCCTGTGAGTAAGCTTAAATAAACAATTACTTGGCATAAATAAGCAACAAACAAGTTAGTTTTTCGGTGGCGTCATTTAACAAGGCACGGTAAAATTAGAAATGCTTGCAACTCACCACACTCCACCGGCCTGCTCGTGTGTCGTACGCTTCGATCACATCTGACAGGGACCTTTCAATCTCATATTCCGGGCTTCCGTAACGAAATCCACCAATAGCAAAAAGAATGTCCTGTGGGATCCGCGGGTAGGCAATCCTTGGTGTCACGAATTCCTTGTCTTCGTTTTCTTCATTCGTCATCATTTGCACGTCGCGTAGGAACGAGAGCGTCTCCAAGATCACGGATCTGCACCCCTCATACTCCGTCACGTACGCGTGATTTGATATCTGTTCAACAGTTCGATGTGGACCTTATTTACTTTATGGAAAGGATGACAAGTTCCATTGCAGAGGAGACAAGAAATTCCACATAATTTGGTTGGGAACTCACCGAAATAGACTGTGGTATATACAGGAAAATATGTTTTTTCGTTTATGTAACGACGGTCGTAAGAAATGTACAGGTTGTGGAGAGAAGTGAAATCAAAGTTAAATCGATCTTAGAGAAATGTATTGAAATGTGTTTCAACCGAAAGTTAAATACTTCAGTAAGGGATGCATTTTTAGTTACATTCAAACACGTAACTCATTTCTCGTCTCTCCGTGCGAGATGCACGCCGCGATCACCACATTCTTTTTGATTCGATAACTTTAATTAATCGACAAAATTACGTTTGTTTCACACGTATTCGTAAGGGGCGAGTGGCTGAAATCACAGAGCATTTGAACTAGAGTGGGAACATTTTTCTCTCGGGTTAAAGCGCATTCTGAAATGGTAGAAAGAATATCATAAGTTGCATGGCTGCTTCGTTAGATGGAAGGTTAAAATATTAGAATATTCAAGCTGTCTATGTTTTAGAAGCCCCTCGGGTAATTTACTCCTGGAGGTAAAACGAAGCTATCTTGCTGTACTTTTCGGACATCTGTTGCCCCTTTGTGGTCAATCAGCTGAGGTTTGCCATGCTGAAGTGATCTATATATATCGTCGGAGATGCGTGAAATTATTATAGCAGCTAAGATATGCTTCTTATGACAGTGGGATCTTTGGTTAAGTAGAACGCTGCGTCAGAAACTAATGGACGTTTATAGTCGGTCAATAAATACCGACTATTAACTCCTAACACATATCTGCATGAAACTTTTGTTGTGTTCTTTTTTATTGTTTTGTTGTCTCATTGTGTTGATGTATCTCATTGTTCTGTTGTGTCTCATTGTTTTGTTGTGTCTTATTGTTTTTGTTGTGTTTTTATTGTTTTGTTCTGTCTCATTGCGTTGATGTATCTCATTTTTTTGTTGTGTCTTATTGTTTTTTGTTGTGTTCTTTTTTATTGTTTTGTTGTCTCATTGTGTTGATGTATCTCATTGTTCTGTTGTGTCTCATTGTTTTGTTGTGTCTTATTGTTTTTGTTGTGTTTTTATTGTTTTGTTCTGTCTCATTGCGTTGATGTATCTCATTTTTTTGTTGTGTCTTATTGTTTTTTGTTGTGTTCTTTTTTATTGTTTTGTTGTCTCATTGTGTTGATGTATCTCATTGTTCTGTTGTGTCTCATTGTTTTGTTGTGTCTTATTGTTTTTGTTGTGTTTTTATTGTTTTGTTCTGTCTCATTGCGTTGATGTATCTCATTTTTTTGTTGTGTCTTATTGTTTTTTGTTGTGTTCTTTTTTATTGTTTTGTTGTCTCATTGTGTTGATGTATCTCATTGTTCTGTTGTGTCTCATTGTTTTGTTGTGTCTTATTGTTTTTGTTGTGTTTTTATTGTTTTGTTCTGTCTCATTGCGTTGATGTATCTCATTTTTTTGTTGTGTCTTATTGTTTTTTGTTGTGTTCTTTTTTATTGTTTTGTTGTCTCATTGTGTTGATGTATCTCATTGTTCTGTTGTGTCTCATTGTTTTGTTGTGTCTTATTGTTTTTGTTGTGTTTTTATTGTTTTGTTCTGTCTCATTGCGTTGATGTATCTCATTTTTTTGTTGTGTCTTATTGTTTTTTGTTGTGTTCTTTTTTATTGTTTTGTTGTCTCATTGTGTTGATGTATCTCATTGTTCTGTTGTGTCTCATTGTTTTGTTGTGTCTTATTGTTTTTGTTGTGTTTTTATTGTTTTGTTCTGTCTCATTGCGTTGATGTATCTCATTTTTTTGTTGTGTCTTATTGTTTTTTGTTGTGTTCTTTTTTATTGTTTTGTTGTCTCATTGTGTTGATGTATCTCATTGTTCTGTTGTGTCTCATTGTTTTGTTGTGTCTTATTGTTTTTGTTGTGTTTTTATTGTTTTGTTCTGTCTCATTGCGTTGATGTATCTCATTTTTTTGTTGTGTCTTATTGTTTTTTGTTGTGTTCTTTTTTATTGTTTTGTTGTCTCATTGTGTTGATGTATCTCATTGTTCTGTTGTGTCTCATTGTTTTGTTGTGTCTTATTGTTTTTGTTGTGTTTTTATTGTTTTGTTCTGTCTCATTGCGTTGATGTATCTCATTTTTTTGTTGTGTCTTATTGTTTTTTGTTGTGTTCTTTTTTATTGTTTTGTTGTCTCATTGTGTTGATGTATCTCATTGTTCTGTTGTGTCTCATTGTTTTGTTGTGTCTTATTGTTTTTGTTGTGTTTTTATTGTTTTGTTCTGTCTCATTGCGTTGATGTATCTCATTTTTTTGTTGTGTCTTATTGTTTTTTGTTGTGTTCTTTTTTATTGTTTTGTTGTCTCATTGTGTTGATGTATCTCATTGTTCTGTTGTGTCTCATTGTTTTGTTGTGTCTTATTGTTTTTGTTGTGTTTTTATTGTTTTGTTCTGTCTCATTGCGTTGATGTATCTCATTTTTTTGTTGTGTCTTATTGTTTTTTGTTGTGTTCTTTTTTATTGTTTTGTTGTCTCATTGTGTTGATGTATCTCATTGTTCTGTTGTGTCTCATTGTTTTGTTGTGTCTTATTGTTTTTGTTGTGTTTTTATTGTTTTGTTCTGTCTCATTGCGTTGATGTATCTCATTTTTTTGTTGTGTCTTATTGTTTTTTGTTGTGTTCTTTTTTATTGTTTTGTTGTCTCATTGTGTTGATGTATCTCATTGTTCTGTTGTGTCTCATTGTTTTGTTGTGTCTTATTGTTTTGTATCTTATTGTAGGTCACTGCCACCGGGTATAAACCCATTTGCAGTCAATAATAAATAATAATAATTGCACAGGTATTTATTGAAACCATGGTAACCAAGGCAATCTGGAGATTTCTTACTCAGCAAATTTTGCGCGGAATAAGGCATTCAAAAAATTGTGTTCTTCACGTTGCTATTGTAACATTTTAACCAGAATTGGAATTTGTCAACAGATTCTCTTAACGATCAACATTATTAAGTTTAATGAATATCCGGTTAGACGTTCTCGACCTGGAACTGCGGACAGACGGACAGGCTTACATGGGTCGAAGTAAAAGGCTCACAATTTACAGTAATTAGTTACGAAATCGTGTGAAAATGGAACTCAAAGTGTGACCTTCACTTCCACGTCTTCGGGGGCATACTGACCTTCTCAACGAAATACTTTTCGTCAAGGAGTCCCAGTCTGACGCCCTTCAAAAGGCCCGCGATGTGGTCTCTCCTGTTGTCCGGGTCGTGGTTAATCCACCGGAGAATGCACTCCCACACAACTTTCTCGTCTTGCACGTTCAGTTCCTCGGACTCGATTATCGCTTGCAGCTCCTCTGCAGGCAGTTCCAGCAGTTCTTCGCTCTGCTGAGACATTTCCACGAAGTGGCGCAGAACGAAGCGACGAGCGTGAGTCTCAAGGTCGGCGAAGAAGTGAAACCTGCGACAGCGAGTGTAAGATCCGACTCAGAATCGATCTCCTTCGAACTCTGACACAATTAAACATTACAGAAATAACTGGATTCTCGAGCATTTGCACACCACAGTATTTCGCCTCCAGTTTTGACCTTAGCCGTTTGAAGCCCGAGTGAGCTAGACTGAGAGTAAGACACGTGAAGAGGCAACGATGATGGATGCTCCGTTTAATCGGGGCAAAATAGAAAGTTTTCGGCTATGAAGGTTACCAGGCAATGCCCGCTCATCCTCGTGATAAAGTTATAGGTTGAATCAAGGGCACGGTGTACGCAAGTGAAGAAAGCAGTGAGATTAGAACTGAAGAATTTTGAATTTTAGCATTAAATTTGGCGAAACCACATTTTATTAACTGTGTGTGTTAATCCAGTGAATCCTCGTGTAACGGATAAGCCAATAAATCGGATGAGCGAGGGAAGGAGGAACTTGGTCCTGGATATGAAAAATAAGTAGAGATTCAATACAGATATTCCTCGGCGGCAGATGATGTGGGGGTTTCGCACGCACAAGTCGACGGCACAAGAGTCACCCGTGAGCGCTGTTCGAGGGTGTCCCTGTACTAAAAGAGTGAATTTATTAGTCATTCTGTCCATCGCATGAAGTGGTGGTTCTGGTGTGATTCTGCCGATGTCAGTTGATTTGCTTGCTATATTTTCCCCAGCAAGAAGGAGTAGGAGTTCACCTCCTACGCGAACCAGCAGGTTGTTTTTGTCTTTGCCCGATAATAACCAATTCTCTAAGTATCCTGAAGTGTTCATAACAATCAGCAAAATCTGGGTGTGATATTCGATCAATGAACTGTACCGCGTGGACATCGCTTTACACAACTCTCGCCGGCAGAAATCGATAGCAACTCATCTGGTTTAAATTCGTACGGTTAATGCGGGAATCGGATAATCGAGGGTCGGTTAACAGAGGTTTTGCCATATGCAGAAAGATGTAGAGCTGAATGATGATTTTGATATTGGGAGGATTATGTAAGAAGCAAAGAATGCCGCAGAGAAAGGAAGAAAGAAGGAAGGGAAGGAATTCGGGAGGAAGAGAGAGATTATTGTGACGCTGCATTGGTCGCGATTCACGGTCAACATGGTGAAATTAGTCATCTGCTGGACATAATGACGATCAAGACGTATGCAGTTAAATCATAACATTTAAATTACAGGCACATTAATAACAAACTGCCAACAGCCCTGACATACAACGCATTATTATTCGCCTTAATCTCCGACTCGACACTTCGCTGCTCTCTGAGTACAGCCAATGACAAATGAACATCAATTACCTTGCGAAAAGCAAGATGCCGATACAGTTGTCGGCGTCCATCGCTTCCTTTAGGAAGTCGGAGCAGAGTTCAGTAACTTCCGGAATACACAAGTAATCAGCCGTTACGAGCAGCTGACACGAGTTGTCGGAGCGGATGTCCACCTCGCGAAAATAAACATAATCCAGTATCTGGGTCATCATGTCTGAGCTGACTCCGTGGAGGAGGACATCAGTCTCCTCATTGGTGTGCAGTGTTGTCGTGAATAGGGTCCTGAAACATCACGAAGCAGTCGTCGATTTGGAGAAACGGCGAGCAGAAACTTACAAGCCATGCTCATTAAGTTTAAGTTTCTATAACACGTAGAATAAAAGTAGTGCTCTGAATACTTCAAAAACTCCCAGAATGTGGTCTAATGGGACCAGATTACCTGCGAGGGGGCGTAGATCGTGCGTAGGCTTAACAGAATATAACTTACAAATCAGATGTTCAGAGAAAACCGTTTATGTCAGTACCAGAAAGTAACCCGTCAAGAATGCAGGGTAAAATAGGAAGCAGTGAACATTTGTACTATAGAATTGTTACCGAATGTGGGCCACAGTTTGTAACATGACTGCGAGAAACGTCTGTTGGAAAAGAGAAACAATGGTTCACGGTTATAATTCATTTCTCATTTCAGAAACACAACGCATCTTTATTTAAAACACAAGCAAATTAACGTATGCACAAAATCTCGAAAGATTCTCTCCTACCAATGAAACATTTCTCGCGAAGTACCTTCTCATAGTTTATTATATTTCAGACAGAGCAACTCACAGCAGCTTTCAATGTTCCTGGAAAATGGCGTGACAAACGTCAATTACCAACTTCCTTCTGGAATTTGTCGATCGTCTTTATATGTTAAAACCAAAACGTTTTGGAAATTGATTCTGTTTCTCCCTCCAGATCGATTGACTGTCACCTTGGTACAACCGCACTTAAAAATTAGTACAAAAAACACGTCCGTCTTCTGGGATGTTGCATCGTGTTGTCTCGTAGAAATTATCGGACGTTTCAGAGGTGCTTACTGCCTCCATCATTAAGGAAAGAAGGCAGTAAGTACGCCTGAAATGCCACTCGTTTCTACGGCGCAACGTCCAGAAGACATTCTTCTTCTTCTTCCTCAACGCCGTGAGATTTCATGAGAATGAATAAATAACAAAAGACATTCAGCCGCATAAAAATACAGGTTTCTGCAACAAAGGGGAAATCACATTTCACATACTAATTAACGTCTATTGTGTCCTTATTTCACGTGTCAGTCAACCACGTCAGCAAATAAACAAACCTGAAATAAGCGCTGCACATCGACAGAATCACTCTGTGGACTGGAAAGACGCCACCGTCCTCCAACCTCAACACCGCGTCACATAACAGGTTCTTCGCTCTCAGCTCTTTCAGACGGACTAATCCTTTGGTGCACGTGCACCTGACGCCATCTTGCTGAGAACAGCCGCTTTCTTGCTTAATCTCCATTTCCTGAAAAACAGTCCATTTCTGTTACAGGATTTTCTTCATACTTACGCGTGTGCACATCAACTGAGAGTGACTGAGATAGAACACGGTACTGAGAAGAATACGTGGTCCTGCGAGAGAGTTACTGACAAGGGAATGGTGAAAACTGCATAACATGGAGCTTTATATGTCTCTTCACTAATTAATGAATTGTAGGCTGTCAGATCAAAGGTGATGAGAAGGGCGGGGCATGTAGTTCACATGGCAGAGACAAGAAGGCGACATTTTAATCGGAAGTCCTGAAAGGAAGAGGTCGTTTGATAATATTAAAATAGATCATAGAAGGTGGGGAATGAAGGTGTGGACTGACTTCATCTGCCTGAGGATATGGTTTAGAGGCAAGGGTCTTCTAAACTAACTAACTACCTAACTAGATGGCTTACCGAACCCAAAGTTTCATCACCGAATTAACCAAAGTCCTCCACCGGACCCTGTCCTGGGCCAACAAAACCATTCAACTCCTATCTCCCATAGATCCCTCCTGACATTATCCTCCCATCTACGTCTAGGTCTCCCCAGCGGTCTCTTCCCCTCAGGCTTCCCGACCAATACCTGGTGCACACCTCTTGTCCCATCCATGCGTGCCACACGTCCCGCTCATCTCATTCTTCTCGACTTAATCACCCTGAAAATGTGACTGATATATTCAATATTAAGTCATGTTGCATATTTTTCATTACTCGCATAAAGTTAAATCTTCTAAATATAAAATATCAATGCAATCTATAAAGTCTTTGATTCTTCTATTCTTTGAACAGATTTTAAAAATTTACGACAAAAATTATTCGATAGAAATTGCGTGACCTTTGATGCAGTACCAGACATTTAACAAATAAATTTTGGAAAAAGAAGGCTACGCCATTTTATAACCATAAAAGTTTTGAGTTCTTCTCTCTCTGTAGAACTAAATGTGCTTAAGAGCTTACATGATTAAGGTCTTTCCTGCCTAGTTACAGATTTATATACACTACAAACACAAAATGTAATATAAATTTATGAAATGAACGCGAGAATTACAGTTGGGAGCAGTCACAAAATCTCTAAGTTGTTTTACTGCATACGGAGATTAGACCTACATCACACTAGTCACACACTGTAATATGCAAGATATCCTATGCAAAGAGAATAAAACACCTTCTTTACTGAACAAGAAGGCTCATCACCATGTTCACAAAATCCCGCCACCGTGGTCTATCCTGAGGCAATAGCACCCAGTTCGCTCCATCGAGTCTCATCTCCCTAAGGTCCATCTTAATGTTATCCTCCCACCTACGCCGAGGTCTTTCCAGAGGTCTCCTCCCTTCAGCCCTCCCAACCAAAAACTTGAAAACACCCCTCCCCTGTCTACTTCACCCTAAAAACATCGGGTGAGGAACTCGTCATGCACTTTGCTCTATTATCTGTCCCACTTCCGTTTTGGGTCCAAATGTCTTCCTCAGCACTCTGTTCTCAAAGACCCTCAGTCTATGATCCTCCCTCAAAGTGAAAGACCTCGTTTTGCACCCGTACGGCACAACTGTCAAAATGACGCTTTGGTTCATTTCAGTATTAATTTTGTTTTGATATGAGACGGGAGGAAAAAAAAGATTTTGAATAACATTCCCCGGATTTCATTTGCTAAGAAGGCTCATCACCATGTTCACAAAAGTCCGCCACCGTGCTCTATCCTGAGCCAGTTGCATCCAGTTCACTCCATCGAGTCTCATCTCCCTAAGGTCTATCTTAATGTTATCCTCCCATAGGTCTCCTCCCTTCAGGCCTCCGAACCAATAACATTAAAACACCCCTCCCCTGTCCACTTCACCCTAAAAACATCGGGTGAGGAACTCGTCATGCACTTTGCTCTATTATCTGTCCCACTTCCGTTTTGGGTCCAAATGTCTTCCTCAGCACTCTGTTCTCAAAGACCCTCAGTCTATGATCCTCCCTCAAAGTGAAAGACCTCGTTTTGCACCCGTACGGCACAACTGTCAAAATGACGCTTTGGTTCATTTCAGTATTAATTTTGTTTTGATATGAGACGGGAGGAAAAAAAAGATTTTGAATAACATTCCCCGGATTTCATTTGCTATTGTAGGAAGATAATAAGAGGGAGATTCGTTGATAATTAGGCTTATAAAACTGAAATAAAAATTCTTTACATTTCGCTAAAATGCTTTAATAATGTCGATGTATCAAGATTTGTAAAGTGTTATAATTATTATCCAGATTATATACCCCACTCCTTAGCATCCATATATTTTTATTAAGATTCTAGGCTACTAAACACGTTTTATTCTTTTAAAACCATAAAATGTTTATTGCCTACTAGAATATTATTTTATTATCAATGATGCCATGAAAAAACAGAAGTCAATCTAGTATTACTTAAAAAGAGTTGACAGTGGAACCACGGTTCCGGAGAATTTGACGTAAATACGTCTATACGGAAAGGAAGTTTATATATTGGCTTTATTCTAAATTTACTTTATACATGCTTTACAATTGAGTAAAGTTTGATTAAGACATTGCTTATTTAACTTGAATTAGTTACTCTAAGATGGGTCTGTGGTAGCTGAAATATGTTATAAAATTTGTACATTTTAGAGTATCAATATATCGTGCAAACACCATATCTATACAAGATTTTGATCTAGTAGTACTACATTGAGGATTTGACATCAACATTAAGCCAAACGTTTCATCCATAAATGTGACAAAGCTTTGATTTTCCTCCTTCTTTAAATCAGTATTAAAATCTCCTGTCAATATTATCGGCATTGTATTAAGATCTTCAGTGGCCATAACTGAAAACATCTTTGTATAATTTCTCAAATGACTCAAAATAAATCTCTTACAATCATCAATAGGTGTGTGATTACAAATATACAGGGTTATAATTAAATCTTTTTCACCATTGACCATACACTCTGCCGCACAAATATCACCTCTCTTTTCAGCTGCAGCTATTCTGTAATATGCTCCATCCTCCTTAGGCTCATTATTTAATACTTCTATTTTTTTACGTTTTCTGTACTGTCTCATATATTCTGCGTTATGGAGTCTTTTAGCTTCAATGCCATCCATCTTGTACATAGTATGACGCAACAAACTAACGCAACAATAGATTTCTTAATAATTCTTATATAAGATAAGTACCTGTGATATTGTAAAACGTTTTTACCAGCACAAAGTTATCTAGTCCACGACGCACTTCTTCTACAAGCGATTCACAGCTCAGCTCTTTCCGCAATAACGAAAGTAATGTAACACAACAATGCCAAGTAAACAGATGACGTTTCCTAGGTAACAATAATGCCGATTAAACAGATGACGTTTCCTAGGTAACAACAATGCCGATTAAAGACGACGTTTCCTAGGTAACAACATTGCCGAGTAAACACGACGTTCCCTAGGTAACCATTGTTGTCGATTTGTTGATTTCGTTACAGTTTTTTGCCGAATGACCCTTCCGTATAGACGTATTTACGTCAAAATAATTAATAGGAATGCCTTACCTCAAAATTTGTTCAAGAGGATGAGACTTTGATGTCAACCAGCAATGATCAATTGAATCAAAAATAAAATTGAGAAAGTGGAGGGTGGTATCACAAATTGCTTAATAATTCTTATATAAGATAAGTACTTGGGATATTTTGAAAGATTTTTAATGGCACGAAATATCTCGTCTACGATGCACTTCTTCTACAAGCGATTCACAGCTCAGTTCTTTCCACAACGAAAGCCGATTGTTGACGGCAATAAATACTAATGAAATACAACAATATCGAGTAAACAAATTATATAACAATTAGTTTCTTAGGTAAAGGAATGGAAAGCGATACGGTTTATTCAGGCAATTATACTACATGTATAAGAAATGAGAAAATAGCCTAATGGCATGCTCAGCCAACATTGTTGCAGGTGTGGGTTACAAATTCCAATACTTTTTGACGTAAATACGTCTATGAGGAAGGGTCATCTACCTACTATAAAAATTTCTGATTTCGTCGTCGTCAATAAATTACGTCATCAATCAACAATGTCAACAGATATTTGTTTATACACGGCATTGTTGTGGAACACAACAATGCCCAGTACAACACAACAATGCCGAGTAAACAAATAACGCTTCACTACCAAGCCAGTCGCATTATAACTGCTCCAGAAGCAGAACGT